CAGGAAAGTAGGGAAATCACATGCATCAAAGGTTCCTGGCCAGATGCGAACTGGGGTGTGTTGTGGTTTATGGCAGGCATCTCCAAGTCACATTTTTACATGTGTCTTGACGGGAGAAAAATCTACCTCCACATGTGAGACAGGTAATCATTGCATTGGACTGATCTAAAAAGTTTAAAAAACAATATCTTACTATGATGGCATAACTTTTAATGACATTCACTATGACGGATTATCTATCACAACCTTTTAAACAAGTAATTCCTGTATGTGGATTTCTGCACTTTAATGAACAGAAGTCAATGATTGCCTGGAAAGTATTAAATCAATCCCAAAATGTACATTGTTTAAATGTGCAAAAACACCTGTATGGTCCTTTGTAGCTGGGGCATAGTGAGTTGGAAACTGTGACCCTCTCTGACCTGGTGATTCGTCCTTGAGCTAAACACTGAGTAATGTACCACTTCTGAGTCTGACCCCTGGTCTTCCCCTGAAGGCAGCCAAAAGGAAAGTTTTTCAAAAACAGACCAACAGGAGAGAAGATAATAAATGCAGTAATCAACCTCAACACTATACACACATTTCCAAACACACATACAGTATAAACACGCTTCCCTTTTACACACAGCCCTGCTCACTGACATGCACAGAGCCCACTCTCATAAGCTCCTCCGCAGACGTAAACACCACACACACAGATTCGCAGACACACACAGGCTCAGGCTGTTTGAAGTGACAGCCCTGTCGTGCATGAGGTGTATTTATGAATGGCCATAGTGAGCCAGTTAGGAAATTCCTCTCATGCTAGGAAACATCTGGCCAATTTTTATCTGTTGTGTCTTTATTCTCATCTAAAGAAGCCAGCAAATAGTTACACAACTCTCCTTGCGGTGCAACATTAGTGGAGTTTGGCATCCCGACAGCCTGGATGAGATCACTTGTGAAATTTGTTATGTCATAGACAGTCAGAGGTATGATAGCATGAAGAGATGCAGAATATATTTTGATGTCAAAGGCTCATCAATAGTGCAAAATTATATATTTAAATCAATTTTATTAGCTGACAATTATGAATCATTATAAACTGTATATTGTAAAGATAATTAAATGTTTTCCGTACTGAATTTTTTTCCCTCCTATTTCTGATCTAATTAGGTGACAGAGCGCTTTTCGCAGGTTGTGTGTGAACTTTTTGCTTTGACTTGAACTCCGTTGACCTTGTCTCTGCTGTCCCCTACAGGCTGAGAGGAAAGCCTCCAGTTGCATGACAAGTGGTGAAGGAAATGAGATAATCTCTTTCACTCTCTTGCCTTTCTCTCACTGACATGGCTCTTAAATTGTTTCATGTTGTTTTTCCTGATCCTGGTTGCCCCGACAACGACTCTACTGTGAGCAATGACCGCACGGCAAGGGGCGGAGCTGTTAGGTGAGAAGCACACACACACACACACACACACACACACACACACATACACACACACACACTGGTACAAGTATAAGGATAAACTGTCAGTGAAAATTCACACACACATCTATCTACATTTATCATTTAAAGACACATGCAGCTGTGATACACACTCACACCCTTTCTCACACACACAAACACAAAAGCACAACAGCATTTACCGAGATTTGTTCCTCAGGATCAAAACATCAAACACAGCAAAAGGCCAGACAGGGTGAACCCTCGCACAGCAGATCAAACACTGCAGCGTGTTATTTTTCAACCTTTCTCTCTAGCGGTGGGTACGAGCTCAGACAGGCCCCCTCTGACAGCCTGTGGTCTATAATCATCCCTCCAGCTGTTTATACCCAGGCATTTGACCTCTAACCTCTGATACCTACACCTTTCATAATGACACTCAGTCACGCTACAGTTCAGCAGTGCTGAGGATAATGAGCGGGGTCATGTGCCTCACACATAAATTCTAGGATGATTTAGTTATTTACATAACTTGCATGCATGGGAAAGTTTTGATATTTTTTGGATGGTTATTATAAAGTGTTTATAACACTGTGAAAGCTGTGACTTTGGTTGTCTCACCTGGTGTTCAGAGTGATAGGGCGGTGAGGCCCGACTGTCAGGGAGATTATCTGTGGCTTAGTACCCTCTGCTGGTGGAGAGACTTCACTTCAGGTAGCAAGAGTGCAGGTTGAAATGGTATTTGCAGGAATGTGGGGTGGTCCAATAAAAATTCCCTCAGTCAGAACATCAGAGCTGATCTATATATATATATATATATATATATATGTGTATATATTATATATAAACATATATAGTGCTTCTGATGCTGGTTGAAGGTTTCAGAATCAATACATGCCTGCAGCCCTTCGAACCACTGCAACCAGTCACTTTAATCACTGTTTAATAGTGGCAACTGCATTTCCAGTAGATCATTTAGGGCTCTCACATCACATTGTATAACGCACAATGTCAAATACTTTAGGATAAAAACATCACATCAGCGTAGTTGTAATTAGGAATATGTATTTAAGAAATTTCTGACGGGAATATATCTCCACTACAAAATGACTACAAAACCACTCTATCAGGCAGTTAGAGGTAGTGCAACATTTTGTAGAGAGCTATGAGACAACTGAGAACGCTCTCACACATAATAGTGGCATCGATCTTTTCATCTCGGCCAGAGAGTGAAAGCTTTCTAATACACATATTGTATCAAAAACATTCAAAAGAGTTTTAGGGGTGCTTGTAAGTAGACTGTGTTTCAGTTAGACAGAGTCAGGCTAGCTGTGTCTTGTTTCCAGTCTCCTTGCTCCAGCTTCTCCAACAGACATAGGCCTACATACTGTATATGATAAATATGAAGCTACCTTCATATTTATCATATACAGTATGAAAAATATGAAGCTACCTTCTGCAGCTCAGCATAAAGACTGGAGCCAGCATGGCTCTGTTCAAAGGAAACAAAATCTGCATTCCAGCTTATGCAAAGCTCACTGCGTTATATCTACTTTGTCAGCCTGCAACTCAATTGTGAGAATAAATGTTGGCATTACAGTATACGTTTCTGCAACCCATGGATATGTGACATTTGTATGTTTCACATGCAGAGGATATGTTGAAACTTAATGTTTCATTACCTCCAGTTTTTAATTTTATGTTGTGACAATGCTGGTTAACTTTTGGTGGGTTTAGGCACAAACACCACTTGTTTAGAGTCATGTTTTAACTTAAAATACCCAGATTTGTTGCTAGGAACGTGGCAGGAAAAGCCCCGACCGCTTATTAAAAAACACCCACTTTTATTTATTGGTCTTGAACAGTGGTCTGCTGCCCTCTTGCCTAGTTGTGATGCCATCTTCTTCTCACTCAGCTCATATACATGTAATCTGAACTACATCACCTTAGAAACACTGATATAATACATACCTGTAGTTTGCAGAAATGTACAATGCCAACATGTATCCTGGCAACTGGACTGTGTTAATCTGCAAAACCATAAATCTGTCTTTATGCTAAGCTTGGCCAACCGGCAGCTGGTTGTAGCTTTACATTTAATGGACAGAGAACAGAGCTGTACTGTCTCAGCTAACACTTGTAAAGAAAGCAAACCCTCATACTTCCCACAATGTCAAACTTTTCCTTTAATTGGTTTATTTATGACTCCATCTTCTTTATTTTATTTTCAGTATTTGAAATAAACCACTGACCTGCATGACACAATATGCACTCACCTTTGCCATGCTTCATCAGAACATACAATGTTTATTACTTTAATTTGATGAGCCATTAACAAAAAATAAACATTATCATACAAATCTAGATTAAGATAAAACTTTATTAAGCAGTGAGTTAGCCCTTGTTGGCTGGTCCTTCACAGTAAAAAACTTTCAGGCAGCCTTCTTTCTTTGTGTCTCTTGTTTCTGGTCAACTCCTGAGTCAGGGTGTGAAAATATGTGCCCCTGAAACTGCTCCCTTAAAGGACAACTTTGGTATTTTTCAACCTGGGCCCTATTTCCCCATGTGTATGTGTGTGTATGATTCATGGGTACAACTCGTTCTAAAATTGGTTCAGTATTGAGGGAGGCGGATGCAACCAGGAGCCACTAAACGAGCTAAAACGGTAACGGGGGCAAATGCATCCTGTATAAGTTTGCGCATTAAAAGTGCTTTTTTTTGCTGCTGACTGGTTCAGATTGCCAGTGCTTTGAGTGCTATGAGCACTATGAGCGGAGTCAGCTGTCAGTCAATGTTGGAGCAGAGAGGGGGAGGGCTGCCCCACTGGGTACTGTAAGTGAGTATGTGTGTATGAAGTGTGTGTTTTTTTGCCACTGACTGGTTCAGATCGCCAGTGCTATCTCTGTAAATAGCATACTAGCTTTTCCCTTACCTCTGGGCTGTGTGATGTCATGAGCTTTGCTCCACTGTGTCTGTAGCTCTCTCTACTCGTGGGACAGCCGTTGTCTTGAGGAAGAGGTGTTTCTGGATTGGATGTCTTCTCTTCTTCTGCTGGCAGCAATCATCTTGGGAGAAGTGAGCACTGCAGACCCGATGGTCTGCAAGGCGCAGTGTCTGGAGAGGAGTGTTAGCATCCATTTGTAGCACAACTAGCCACAACTTCAGCATCTCACCATCCGACAAAGGCAGCCTATGAAAGCTGTATGGGGTGTTGCGCGACATCCTGTTCTTGAGTTCTGGAAAAAAGCCCGTTTATTTGAGCACTCCAAAAACTCCGGTAACACTCCAGGGGGTAGCACGTAAAAGACTCCGTCCTCTGACTCTGACTCTTCTAGCGTAACACACACACTTCATACACACATACTCACTTACAGTACCCAGCGGAGCAGCCCTCCCTCTCTCTGCTCCAACACTGACTGACAGCTGACTCCACTCATTCTCTCTCTCCACTCAGAGATAGCACTGGCGATCTGAACCGGTCAGTGGCGAAAAAAAGCACTTTTATACGGGACGCATTTGCCCCTGTTACCGTTTCGCGCCTCAATACTGAACCAATTTTAGAACGAGTGGTACCCATGAATCATACGCACACATACACATGGGGAAATAGAGCCCAGGTTGAAAAATACCGAAGTTGTCCTTTAAGGTCTTTTGTAAAAAGAATATGTTCACAGTCAACTTGCCTGAATAATATACGGGTTATAAAAGTCATTTTAAAATGTGAGTATCTGTCTCCCTGAACCTTTCCCAAAACATAAATCCATAGAATGCTTTTAATTGAATTTAAAGTGTTTTATATCTATAACTTTTAAGTGAAATATTTCATACTGCCTGTTATTTCTAAGCAGCACACACCAGCAGCTTCTCTTTATTTTAAATGTACCATCAAAAGACTTCTACCAAATTTAAGACCTCTCTTAGATTATATCTAGATGAACATATTTTGTGGTAATTTTGTTTAGTCCATTATACTTGAACTTGAGTTGTTTAATTGAACAGTAAAAAATACATCAGGCCGTAATGTTTTTGTCCAACAGTACTGGATTGTAACACTCATGAATCCCATGAATTAGTTTCTGAAGATGCCTCTGAGTGGAGAACATCTGCAGAGCTCAGACTCGAGTGCTGGATACTGCAGGCAGGTGCAGGGGAGGCTCACAGTGCAGGTCCTGGGTCTTTGTACCAACGCCCTACAGGCAAACTGTCAGTGGCAGCAGAGCCTCTATGGACAGACTCAGGAACGGGAAGAGATGTAGACGATAAAGTTCATCGTTTGAAGTGGTTCAGCTCAGAGGCACAGCTTAGAGACTCAGACATAAAGGCACACACTGCATCTTTCTCACTCTATGTCCTGCACACACACACACACACACACACACACATCCCATGCCCACACCACAGCATTGAAGAGACAGCCAGACAGTGCTTGCAGTGGTTAAGAGAGTCTGTAGTCCAATTTTAAATCCATGTATATCTCTCTGTTTTACTGTCTGTGGCAGTGTCCAGAGTGTCATTAAGGCTCCTTGCCCAGTTCATCACAGCTGTGTGGTTAGGGATTATTTACAGGTTGGCACTTTGACCGCCAGCATCCTTTATCAACAAAGAAAGAAAGAGTCAAGTTCGGTGTTTGTCTTGCTGGGTTTGAGCGACTGCTACTGTGGGCTGGATGTCAGAGGTCAGGTACTGAGCAGGAGATCTCCTTGTCCAGAGCCCCACTCTACAAAATCCATTTCCCCGCTGGAATGAGGAGGACTGTCCAGAGAGATGCCCCTCCGCTCCCCAAACACCTTCTCCTGCAGCTCAATTATGTCATTGCGGATGTCAGCCATCATTAGCAAAAGGAAGTCGAAGGAGCCGGGTGGTCCCTGTGGATGGAAGACGGAGTAAGGGATTGATTAATATGCTCTGCATTTCATTTGTCACTGGGTTCGACAATCAGTAAACTGGGTTTCCTTTTGGAGGTGTGAGGCCAAACAGCCTTTTTTTCACAGCAGACAGTTTGGCATGTCGTAGCAGGAAAACTGATTAAAATAGTTGAACCAAACCACCAACCCAAACCCCCAGTATTTGAAGACCCAGGAAAAAGACTCAGCAACCAACTATCTTCATCCAGAATAACACACTGCACCTTTAAAAAATAACTCTAATCCTATTAGACATAACATTTTGGAAGATGTGACTGGAGCTTTTAAGAGCATGTTCATGAGTATACTTTAAGAATATGAATTTACTTTATGTTTTAACTCTAAATGAACTTACAGGTGGACCTCTGGGACCTGGAGCTCCTCTGTCACCCTGTAGATGAGAAACAGCACAAATTAACCCAATTCTAACAGACACAGCTTCCAAAAACTGTATAAACTACACAGTGCCAAATATACATTTAGAGCAATTTGCTCTATTTAGTAAGGAACAACTCACTAAAGTGTCCTGAAAACTATGTTATTGAGTGTCAGGCAGGTTAAAACTGTAATGATTATTACTGGACAAACATTTTGTAGAGTATAATGTAAATATTGTCAGTGTACTGTTTATCTTTACGAAAGGGACAAAAAAACATGAAATATAGTTTTTCAGAACTGCATGCTGTTAGATTGTAGAACTTGCTGGCCTTTTGTTTTTGGCCCTGTATGTGACCCAGTCAGACAGGCAAAGGAGCAGCTTTACTGGACTCCATTCACTTGGTGACAAGTTTCTAACAGTGTAGCTTCACACACAAATACACATATACACGTACAGACAATAATTAAAAAATGTACAAGTTAAATAAGGATATGTAATAATAACCTTTTGTCCATCTCTTCCTGTTGCTCCAGGTGGTCCCTGCATGAAAGATAAGGCACATGTTTGAGAAGGTTTGTCAAGCTAATAACATGAGGCAGCAGACATTTTCAGCTACAGCTGTGTTTTTCATCCTATGGCAGGTCTGTTTGAAACGTAAGCTTAAGCACTTAAGAGCTCTAAAGGTAAATCTTGGATAATATGTGAATAGATTTGGTAGTTTTTTCAGAGATTAAACATAAAACATAAAATCCCACCATACAGTTTTAAATCAACACTGACTACCTCCTCTCCACTTTTACTTCCTCCCTTTTTTATGGCAACAGGGAAAAGTGGCAGACTGTGGCATCTTGTGTACACTGTCACTTCACCATAGATAGATCCTTGATTGTTCAGGTAAAACCAGTGCTCTTAAACTACACTGCTCAAAAAAAAAAAATTAGGTAAACACTTAATTATCACAGTCTAACACCAAGTCAGGGATATCAATCTGTCCATTTAGGAAGCCCAAGTTATTGTGAATCAATTTCACCTGCTTTGATGCAAATCAAAGTGACAACAGGTGCAATGGAGAGACAAAAGCAAGACAACCCCCAAAAAGGGAATGGTTTTTCATGTGGTGGCCACAGACAGTTGCTCTCTCCTTATCCTGACTGACTGATTCTTCTCTAGTTTTGTCTTCTGCTAGTGTTCTTGTCACTGCTGGTAGCATGAGGTGATACCTGCAGCCCAATCAGGCTGCACAGGTAGTCCAGCTCCTCCAGGATGGCACATCCATACATGCTGTCACAAGAAGGTTGCTGAGTCTCCCAGCATAGTCCCAAGAGCATGGATGAAATACCAGGAGACCAGCCTTTACACGAGGAGAGCTGGACAGGGCCGTAGAAGGGCATCAACCCAGCAGCAGGACCGGTATCTGCTCCTTTGTATGAGGAGGAACAGGAAGAGCAAAGTCTGAGCCCTACAAAATGACCTCCAGCAGGCTACTGGTGTGCATGTTTCTGACCAAACTGTCTCCATGAAGGTGGCATGAGGGCCAGACGTCCTCTAGTGGGACCTCACAGCCCAGCACTGTGCAGCTCAACTGGCATTTACCAGAAAACAAAAGAATTGGCAGGTCCGCCATCGTCGCTCTGTTCTCTTCACAGATGAGAGCAGGTTCACACTGAGCACATGTGACAGGCGTAAAAGAGTCTGGAGATGCTGTGGTGACCGTAATGCTGCCTGTAATATCATCCAGCATGACTGATTTGGTGGTGGGTCAGTGATGGTGTGGGGAGCCATATCCTTGGAGGGTCACACAGACCTCCATGTCATGGCAAATGGTACCCTGATTGCTGTTAGGTACTGGGATGAAATCCTCAGAGCGATTGTCAGATCTTACGCTGGTGCAGTGGGCCCTGGGTTCCTCCTGGTGCAGGGCAATGCCCAGCCTCATGTGGCCAGAGTGTGTATGCAGTTCCTGGATGATGAAGGCTTTGATGCCATTGACTGGCCCTCTTGTTCCCCTAACCTAAATCCAATTAAGCACCTATGGGGCGTAATGTATTGGTGCATCCCATGCCACCAAATACCGCCACAGACTGTCCAGGAGCTCACTGATGCCATGATCCAGGTCCGGTAGGAGATCCCACAGGACACCATGTGCTGACTCATCAGGAGCTGAGTCATATTATGAGTTGATAAAAATCATGCAAGTTGAGTCAGCCTGTGATTTCATTTTTTTTACTTTGATTTTTGAAGTGATTTTGATTCCAGCCCAGTTGACGATTTTGGTTTCCACTGCATGTAATTTTGTTCTCAATTTTTTTCTCATTTTAATTTTAAAATGTACATCACTAAAGATTTTTAACTTGAATATTTTTGTACATCAAGATTTGATGTGTGATTTAAGTGTTCCCCTATTTTTTTTTAGCAAAGTATTATTTGTATGACTTGCTGACACACTGGATCATTAGATACACTGAGGATGTGACCTCCAAGTGTTAAGGAACTACTTTGATGTCCTAGGTGGTGGCTCCAGTGGGAAATAAACTAAAAAAACAAATGTGATAACCCGTGCATCATGGAATTTTGTTTTCTTACCACTGGCCCCCTGCGGCCTCTTTTCATGTGCCTCAGGTCAGGCTCTGGACCCATGGGTCCAATGTCTCCCCGTGGACCCCGAGGGCCAGGCGGGCCCCTGTCCCCTGGGTCCCCTCTCTTTCCCGGTTCTCCTGGGTGCCCTGATGAGGACAGATGGATACAGCGATGAAGAGAGCGATTTAAAATTTAGGAGTCATTGGCATCAGAGTGACAAACTGCAACATCACTGAAGGACACCGAGCATTTCTTAATACTAAGCTCCTCACGCAGGTCATTTAAAACCCTTGAGTTTACTTGTACTTAAATTGTTACTGCTTTAATCCTATACATTTTTTTTTATCTCTTTGTGCTTTTATTATTATGTGTAGAGCATTTTCTTTTACTTGATTATTTTTCCGCACACTTCTTCTGCCTCTTTACCTTCCTCCTTTGTGATATTCTAACAACTACACACTGTTGTTGCAGATGTTGCATGCATTAATCACAGACCCTTCCTCTGCACACATCTGGAGCTAGTATTGGATTCAACTTTTCTAACCTTACAGTTATAGCTACATTACCTGGGACCCCAGGAGCTCCTGGGGGGCCGGATAAACCAGGGAGACAAGGGCTATCAGGACTTTTTCCTGTCCTCCCCAGATGTGGCTTGTCACTGCTGTTGGCCAGGCCAGGCACCTACAAAGACAAAGAGGAAATACCAAGTAAGCTGGTAGTAATAGAAGAAAGCCAAGTAAACGTGTGTAGTTTTACACATTTTGATTTATGTCATCCTTTAACCAAATCTAAACCTCTCTTTTACAGTCTCCTACATGCTGAACACATTTACACATTGGCTGAAGAAAGTTGAGTAATCAATCGATGAGTGTTATAAATCATATTATTAAAAAAAATATATCTAAGTGCATTCAAATATTACGTTTACAAAAAGTTGGCAACTGTTTTATCATTTTGGTAAACCATCTACGGATGAATACTATTTGGTTCAATTTTAAGTGGACTTAAAGCCTCTCTAAAGTAGACATGTTACCTGGTTGGCTGACTGTGTGTTTCCCAGCCTTAGTTTTAGCTGCAGCAGACTGTTTTTCATGTTCATAAAGTCCTGACAGGTGAAGGAGCAGGTACCAGCACTCATCAGGGTGTCTGACTTCCCCGTTGAACTCACTGCAAGAACAAACAAAATATGTATTTGAATTTTTTCTGACACAAGTTTTCAGCATGGACAGGCACACTGGGAATAAAACTTCTAATATTCCCATACTGGTGTCCTGAGCAATACAGAGTCAAATCCCACTCAGTCACAGTCAAAGGTCATTTCCAGAATGTGAAATATTTAAACAGTTACTGCACAAAAATGAAAACAACCACCATACCACAATCATCAGAATCATTACATATTGTTAAAATGGACAAATAATCAATGAAGTCATGTACTAATGCTCTAGTTCCCAAACTGAGTGTACCGAACCCCCACTAGGGGTCGCCAGAGCTTTACAATGATTGCAAGGCCTTTTTTTTTTAAATTTTTATCAGTTGTTCTGTACTGTTATTGCTATGCATTGAATATCAACTGAAATATCTATAGAATATTAGTCACGGGTCATCAGGTTACTCAATGATAGAAAAGAGGTCCCTTACCAAAAATGTCAGGAAATACTGTGATGGACACTGATTCAGTTTTCTACTGACTTTCATCCACATGCTGTAAAGCTGAACTTAAAGGTATACACTCACAGTTGTGCACAGGGATGCAGGTGTGTTGGTCCGGTGCGAGTATGTAGCCACTGCGACATCGACACAGAAAGCTGCCCACTGTGTTCACACACTCATGGTCACAGACGTTGCTGCTTGGGTGCTCACACTCATTAATGTCTGTGTGTGTGTGTGTGTGTGTGTGTGTGTGTGTGTGTGTGAGAGAGAGAGAGAGAGAGAGAGAGAGAGAGAGAGAATAGGGAGAAAGACAGAAAAATTGACATTGTTACAAACAAAATAAAAATCTTTTTTAAAAAATCCCACAAAACAGGAGGGGGGGCTGTTTTTCTATTTAAAGATCCTGAAAAGTCACTTTCAACATGTTACTGCTTTTTAAAGAAGCCATTTGTTTGATGAACCTCTTTTACTATGCGTGTGGATCACTGTGTGAAGAAATGACTAAAAAAACACCCCCATGACAGTTACAGTCAAATGTATTCAACAGCAGAGGAGAAGGGAGTGTACTGACCCAGACAGTAAGGAGACTTGTGGGTACGGTGTCTCTCTCGGTCGAAGCGATAGCCAGGGTAACATGTGCAGACAACTCGTCCAAAGTTATCAGTACACTGCTGCTCACAGGGTGACGCTGCACACACATCCACGCCTGCAGAGAGAGAGAGAGAGAGAGAGAGAGAGAGAGAGAGAGAGAGGAGGCAGGGAGAACACAGATTGAGCAAGGTATTCAAGAACACTGAAACCAACATTACTGGAATCACACAGGACGCTATCAGTCTTTATCACTACCTCCTTACATTCATTAAGTTCCACATCCACAACTGGGAACTGATCACAGCTTTAACTGTCAGCACACAGACAACTCTACAGGCCAATTTATAAGTGTAAATTATAACATGAGTGAAGGCTGAATTCCATTTAGCGGCTTTGGTTTCAGGGCCCTGGCTCACTGTTATGACTTACTGGGACACTTGGATAGAATGGAGCCATCTTCATTGTCAAAAGCTGTGTCCTAAATCACTCCCTTGTTGACTTATTAACTACTCCCTATTGAAAAACACTCGGTAGTTTACTCTGAAGTGACTGAGCAGTAAACTGAGATTTTTGACACTTTAAAATCACCATTATTTTGTGTCATCACTGGCAGGAGTAGAATCACACCACTGTAATTTGTGTGATTATTGGCAGAAAGCAGTCTACATCCATGAACACTACTCCATAAGGCTTACTCCATGTGTGTAAGTGTAACACTCAGAGTATGGACACAAAATATAATATTGAGTAAATCCAGTTCACTGTACAATAATATAATAGCCAAGTTGTCTACTATGAAAAGGGCCCATTACAATAACCAAACCGACAAGAGCTTTTATCTGCTCCCAGGGCTTTGCCTTGATTACAACCCCTGGCTTGGGCCATAAAAAGTGCAAAAACACTTCACCTTCTTAAATTAAAAGGGAAACAATGATAATTATTGATGAGTTTTCACCATTATTATACAGTTTTCTTTGGCTTGACAGTGTTTACCTTATACTTTGTTGCATGAAATGTACTTTAGATACAAGTTATACTTATACTTATGGATAGACCACAGCAGGCACCGCTGCTGTAAATATTTAGTAAAACTGTCTAATTAAAAAGATATACATCCAGTAGGCCTAACACATGGATCTCAAGACATAGTGGAACATCAGACTGGGCAGTAAACTGATGTGGTCCACATCTGAGTGACTCTGTGGAACTTAGCTGGGGTTAAACTTAAATGAACTGAATACTAAAATGTGAGTAGATCCATAGAGCAATTCGATTTATGAATATAGTATGTGTGTATATACAGTACAGGCCAAAAGTTTGGACACACCTTCTCATTCAATGCGTTTTCTTTATTTTCATGACTAATTACATTGTAGATTCTCACTGAAGGCATCAAAACTATGAATGAACACATGTGGAATTATGTACTTAACAAAAAAAGGTGAAATAACTGAAAACATGTTTTATATTCTAGTTTCTTCAAAATAGCCACCCTTTGCTCTGATTACTGCTTTGCACACTCTTGGCATTCTCTCCATGAGCTTCAAGAGGTAGTCACCTGAAATGGTTTCCACTTCACAGGTGTGCCTTATCAGGGTTAATTAGTGGAATTTCTTGCTTTATCAATGGGGTTGGGACCATCAGTTGTGTTGTGCAGAAGTCAGGTTAATACACAGCCGACAGCCCTATTGGACAACTGTTAAAATTCATATTATGGCAAGAACCAATCAGCTAACTAAAGAAAAACGAGTGGCCATCATTACTTTAAGAAATGAAGGTCAGTCAGTCCGGAAAATTGCAAAAACTTTAAATGTGTCCCCAAGTGGAGTCGCAAAAACCATCAAGCGCTACAACGAAACTGGCACACATGAGGACCGACCCAGGAAAGGAAGACCAAGAGTCACCTCTGCTTCTGAGGATAAGTTCATCCGAGTCACCAGCCTCAGAAATCGCAAGTTAACAGCAGCTCAGATCAGAGACCAGATGAATGCCACACAGAGTTCTAGCAGCAGACCCATCTCTAGAACAACTGTTAAGAGGAGACTGCGCCAATCAGGCCTTCATGGTCAAATAGCTGCTAGGAAACCACTGCTAAGGAGAGGCAACAAGCAGAAGAGATTTGTTTGGGCCAAGAAACACAAGGAATGGACATTAGACCAGTGGAAATCTGTGCTTTGGTCTGATGAGTCCAAATTTGAGATCTTTGGTTCCAACCGCCGTGTCTTTGTGAGACGCAGAAAAGGTGAACGGATGGATTCCACATGCCTGGTTCCCACTGTGAAGCATGGAGGAGGAGGTGTGATGGTGTGGGGGTGTTTTGCTGGTGACACTGTTGGGGATTTATTCAAAATTGAAGGCACACTGAACCAGCATGGCTACCACAGCATCCTGCAGCGACATGCCATCCCATCCGGTTTGCGTTTAGTTGGACGATCATTTATTTTTCAACAGGACAATGACCCCAAACACACCTCCAGGCTGTGTAAGGGCTATTTGACCAAGAAGGAGAGTGATGGAGTGCTGCGGCAGATGACCTGGCCTCCACAGTCACCGGACCTGAACCCAATCGAGATGGTTTGGGGTGAGCTGGACCGCAGAGTGAAGGCAAAGGGGCCAACAAGTGCTAAACACCTCTGGGAACTCCTTCAAGACTGTTGGAAAACCATTTCAGGTGACTACCTCTTGAAGCTCATGGAGAGAATGCCAAGAGTGTGCAAAGCAGTAATCAGAGCAAAGGGTGGCTATTTTGAAGAAACTAGAATATAAAACATGTTTTCAGTTATTTCACCTTTTTTTGTTAAGTACATAACTCCACATGTGTTCATTCATAGTTTTGATGCCTTCAGTGAGAATATACAATGTAATTAGTCATGAAAATAAAGAAAACGCATTGAATGAGAAGGTGTGTCCAAACTTTTGGCCTGTACTGTACATGTATACACAGTGCGAGTTTTTAGGCACATCCATCCTTAAAAGGCTGTTGTGTTCATGGAGGAACAGTGTTCTCTAGTGGCTGATGTGGATCACTGTTCTGTGAAAGCTTACTACAGTCACTATGCACTAAACCTGTTTGTCAATACTGTTCACACATGTTCATGATCATGATAATGTCCAATTTTCACACTTATAAGATTTTCTTTTTATTTGTATAATACCACCAAAATGTGGCAGTTCTCTGAGCCAAACCTGTGGACAATTTCTTCTTTTGGTTAGCTATTATGTTGTTTGTTCCAGCACACTGCAATGTGCAAGTCATCCAAGACGACTCCTTAAACATAATTAGGCTTCTCCAAAATGTCAAAAGTCTACCATAACATGTGCATTATAATATCTGGACTTCTTTGGAGGTCTACATAGACAAAAGTGGTCTCCAGCAGGCTGCTGCGGCCTGTTTTAATCTACAAACTGCTGTAGTGTAGAAATTATATCAGATTTGGAGCATGTGAATCACATGTGAGTGTGCACGTGCCAAACTTAGAGGTTAGTGTGTATGGTTTACCTACTTTCAGGTATGCACTGGCCCATCACAAACCTGAAACCGTCACAGCATTTCCTCCTGAAAAAAACAACAACAGTAATAATAATCAGAGGTTTGTATTTCTGCCAGCATTTCCCAACCCTTCAACTCATCATCATTACAAGAATAGTTTGACATTTTAGGAAATATGTTTATTTGCCTTCTTGTTGACGGTTAGATGAGAAAATTGAAACCACTTTTGTGTTATTGAAAGCTGTTCTCTGTTGTACATGTCTGCAGTAAATATGAAGCTACAGCCAGCAACTGGTGAGTTTATCATTTTTGTAAACTGACGCGCATCATAGAAAAGGGTGGTGATACAGAAGTATCACAGCCAGATTATATATTTCTGCAAACACTTATAAGCAGATTGTCATTCCAGCTGTGTGAAAGCTTCTGGTCTGCTCTCCCATTTTCACTCCACAGTTAAAAAACTCCATTGATACATGTGAATATATGTGGAAGACTAGCTGCAGTTAAGGCACTACTCATTCTCTTTCTTACTTCTCTTTGCCCCCTGACCAGTACTTGAACCATGACCAAATAAGCAAGTAAAAACTATTACATAAATTCAGTTTTTTAACTCCATTACAGCCTCCACTTTTGTGATGTAAGCGCTCGTAACAGTTCAGTAAATGCAATATTTTTGAAATACAGCATTGTGCAATGAATATTGGGAAACAACTTCTCCTCAAATTGATTTATGGTGTTTGGCAATGACACTCGTCCAGCCATCCTGCAACAATCCTCCACATGTTACAGACATTACAGTTGGAAAAACAAAGAGGAAATGGCTCAGAAACTCAAGCAGCAAGGCCACGCAACAAATATCACACACACACACACACATACACACACTTGGAGAAAAAAGGCAAGAATGCACGACTCCTGTCCTACAAAATGCATGCTGTTACCGGAGGGGAGCTAGCGTGCTGCCTCATTCACAGCCCCCTCAAGACAACAAGTTGCTTTTATTCTCCTCCAGCCTCCATGCAGTGTAACCCTAAATCATTCTGAGATCCCCCCCTCCTCCTCCTGAATGAAAAATAACCTATAAAACGGCGAGGCCGGCCTAAACTGATGAGATCCAGATGAGGGCGGCTTTAATCTGCAGCTTGTAGCTGGGAGTGTTGAGAGGGATGGATAAGGCTGGGCATGGAGCTGAGGTGGAGACAGGAGAGTGAATGCTGAGATGTCACTTGTTCAGTCAGTCAATCAGTCGGTAAATCCATCAATCAGTCATCTCAGTGGGAATAATGCATTACAGATGCAAGTCTGTTCTGAAAACCACTAAAAAGATCTTATCAGTTACCAGCCATGACAGATCCGCATTAAATTAAGTTTCTTCCATTTCTATTATTTTATTGCCACAGCAATCTCTGGCCTCGTGTTATCTCCCATAAAAATGATGCCAATGAGATCTCATTGGAAAATAGCTAAATCGATTTCA